AAAGTGGAAACTTCAAAACATGCATTCATACGTATATTCCTTTGAGATTTTGAATGCACTATATCTAAAGAAATCCATAATAGCGAAACAGTTTCTGTATTTGATGGGAAGGGGTGTGCAATTGACTTACCTCCACGTGGTGCACCCTGGGCAACGTATATTCATACGACAAAAAGTGTATTAACTTGCAGTTGACTTCTCTCTTCAAGCTACCATCAACTCACTCTATGCCATATTCGACTATTTCACAGTATTCACCTAAACTTTTTCTACTTTTGTATTTATCTCTTACATCTTTGAAACACTCCTCTCTTCCCCCTCTCGACATTTTTTTCAATTTGATGTTCCTTCCCCTCTGTGAAGCCTTAAGTCAACTATAGGACTAATGCTTACCATCCAGACGCCTGCCATTGGATATAAATGAGTATTTGATGGGAATGGTTGCATTGACTTAACATTCGTGAGCAAACGGTAATAGCACAAACAATGGGAGGAATGCTAATTTGCAGGTAATAGAGACAAATTGAATTGACTAATTGTCCTCTCCAATTTTACATTTTAATCAGTTAATGCAAGCATTGGCTCTTTACGATTTTTAGTTATTAAACGCAGTTAAATGCTAAAAGGCCAATATTTGTTAAGTCCAATTAGTACATGTTAAAATAATCCCCTGTGACAAAACAAATAAGTAAACATCTGATTTCACAAACCTAGCTATAGTTGTTTTAAGAAATAGAGTTAATTAACAAAGGTATCGTCTCCTATAAAGATCGAAGAATGAAAGCATGTCACTTCCTCTCTACTACTCGAGTATTATCTGCCATTCAATTAACTTTGCCTTTGGAAGTGGAATTCCTTTTTTCCACCCACTGAACTCTAATCTGTGCAAAATTGGTTCTGATGTCAACGTTGTTATAAAGGAAACAGTAAATAATTTATTTGACCTAAACACATCATGCCAAATATTGCCTAAAGTTCAGGTTTTAAGGACATTGTAATGCAAATGGCAAATGGCAAATGGATAGGGAGTGGGAGGAGGTTAATGAATTTTATCCATGTTTCACCCAAGTATTGTATTGAAAAGATAAATTATAAACACAAAAGTTTATTAAAAGGAAATATTTATTCAAAATACTTTTAACAGTATAAATATTTGCATTAACATAACCAAGGAATTAATATTGTAATATCAAATTGCATTGTGATGGATGACAAGTTAGCACAAAATGATAAGGGTGGGAAATGCGAAATTGTTACATGTAGGGAAATGGAAATTTCAGGACATTCGTGGCAAAGTTTCATTCATTTTAATTGTCCTGGATAAGAGGGACTTTTCATCACTTAAAAGCATTTCGAAGGGAATAAATGATGAATATGAGGAGGATGATGAACCGATGGAAATTGCAAATATTAAATGGCGTTACTTAATTACTGTTAGTAACATCTTTATCTACGTATGACCGTTACTGTAAAGTTAAATACTAAGGTTATCATCACTTAGCCAATTAGGCCTGTCACTGTAAAACTTAAGATTGAGTTGGTTCCCTCACGTGTTGAGATAGTTAGAATAATAGCAAAGTATCTTAGTTGACATTAAATTAGTAATATGAGGTGATAGGGCCATACGAGATTTTTGCAATCACCGACCACTTCCACAGTAGTCACCTTACCTTTTTCTTTACATATACGTCTGTTTCTTTTAGATCTGTGAATCACTATTCTGTTTGATTCCCCCCCCCCTCCCACACACACACGCAACTTTTCAAACGTATTTAAAATGCCCAAAGTGTTGTCAAAGCAGCAGCTTCTTTTCCACACTCATGTAAATCTAAATATGATGATGTAATAAATGTTCAACGCTGTGGATTTTAATCCATTCAATTAGCTACGAAATCTTTTGACCTCAATTTCTGCATTTGCAAGTTGAGTGATGATTGAAGCTTACATGTTGACCAAGTAGTGAAACTGGTAAGATTATAAACTGGCATACCTTGGCAAGTTGTCAAATTCATACTCACATCAAACAATGTGAGAATGAATTCCCGAAACCGAGATCTGTCAACTGATCTGTAAGAGTAGATGGGGCAATAGAAATTATTGACTACACAATTGCCCAATGAAGAATAGTCGAATCGATGGTGGGACAAATATTCTTCGGCCAATTCATTTGGCTGAATCCAACCCCTATAGTTGCCTTCGCTTCCCAAACGTAATGGAAATTGAGACAGATGAGAGTAAATAACCTGGAATCGGCAAGTTAAGACAATTTCATCAATTTATACTTATTCTAAGTCATAAAGCAATCTTATTTCGACAATAACTCTCATCTAATATGATAAAACGAACAGTTCAAAACTGTAATATTCTTATGCTACATTAAATTAACCTCGATTAATCAATATTTGAACATTCGTATTAAAGATTTAATGTCAAACTGAAGAATGACACACATTGCTCACAATTTACTCAATTATTTCATCTGAATTGTAGTAATAATTTATCAATTTAAGTAATGGAAATCATGCAATTTTCGAAATGTGTGAAATTGACTTTCTTCTCACAGGCTGGAGACCTCCATTACGCGAATGGTATATATCAGTGAGGACTATTTGATTGTAAGAAATTGCTTACCTCCCTACAAAATATTTCAGCGTTTATTTCACTTTAGGATATCGACCAAATCCTTAAAATTGATCATTATTCTCGATCATTTAAAAACCTTTATCCACATAATTAGCTAATTTATACATGAAATTTCTTAATTGAGAAATGAAAATTTTATATGCTTTTTCAACATTTTTTTACAATTTGAACTACTACTCTTTTGGATACCGTGTATATGAAACAAATTAAAAGTAGTATGTGTGTGGAGATCAAGGACTAATTGAATTAGCTTATCATAACTTATTTCAAATACATATAAATTATTGTCACAATTAAAACGTGAACGAGGTTCAATTCTTCCACTACAATAATGGTACCTTGCATGATAATGCGAAGAATTAATACATGTCTAAGCTTTGATTTATCCAACTGTAACCTTCCTGAATTACATAAGCTGCCTTAATGATATGCAGTAAACAGAG